GTAGGCAGTGGGTGCTGTTACGCAAAAACCGCGATAGAGTGAAGCCGCGGAAGTCGAAGCGCGAAGTGGCGAGGGTTCACTGTATTCTGTCCTTTACTAGACAAAGTCAAGTCTTGATCTTCTGTTAAACTTGACTCACTTGTAGATTTCTGAACGGGACTTCCAGGACTCTGTGTTTGTTCTGGGATTCTCCGAAGAACTGAACAGATTGCTGCTTCAGCTTTACCTGGACAACCGAAAGGAGATCCGAACGATTCTGAGCGAGTTGGCACCAGGACTCCCCAGTTACCACAGCCTTGAATGGAGACTAGATGTACAGGTGTGCATTGTTGTTGAGTCTGACGGAATCCAAGGGTCATTTTCGGTTTGTGTTCTCATGCTTACTGTACGCTTTACCAGCTTTACCCACATGTTTGCTTATCGAGTGTTGTCTCTGTGGTGAGTAGGCCTGTGCCAAATGCTTTCGGACACGAAGGAAATGTGGAATGCCTTCTTAACCGGGAAAGATGTGAACTGAGGCTGGGGGACGAGATGTTCTCACGCTCACGGTAATGAAAGAGAGCTCTAGAACAGGGTCTGGAGGGGACAGGATGCCGCTGTATAAGGCAAGGTATGAATTAAATGGCTCAAAAAGCTCCAACTCAGGGAGTTCAGTGTGTGTTGAATGATACAGAAAAACTTGATCAAAAGGAGGTGAAACTTCAGAAGGGTGAATGCATCGAAGGAAAACAGGGCCAGTATTCCTGGCAGAGAGGACAGGTCAAGGTGTAAAGGACCCCGAGGATATGATTGGTGGTCCAGGGGGAGCCTTACAGCGTTCTGATGCTCTTGTCCCACCCTCAGGGATTCTGATTTATTGGAGGGAGGGCTTGACCTGGGCATCAAGATTTTCAAAAAGTCTCTTCATTGATACAATTCTTATATTCATTAAAATGAAGTATGTGAACTAAGAGGGTAAACATACTCAAGGTGGAAGGAATACACAGAGCCACGGTCCCCAAAACCATTGTCCATTGTTGAACAGTTTCAGGAAGCTGTTGATCAAGAGGTGATGGTGTTGAGGAGGAAAGAACCCGAGCTGCGTCAAAGCAGGCTATAAGAATGGATGGATGTCCAATCGAATTGTCTTAACAAATGGAATCAGTGCTGGAAACACTAATTAATGCCCAGAAACGTGAAAGAAAGCTACTGGCCAACCAACTGGAGCAGATCCATATTTATTCCCATTTCAAAGAAAACTGACATAACAGTGTGATTATTAAACAGTATATCATTCATACCACACGCAAAATTTTGCTACGGAAAGGTTTTAAACGGTTGCAGCCAGACCTTGATAGGGAACTACCAGAGATTCAAGCTAGATTGAGAAGGGAATGTGGAATGCGGATGTTGCAGAGGTCAGGTTAACTGGAAGCTGAGAACACCAAAAAGACATTGACTTTTGTTTGGTTGACTATGCAAAGGCATGATTAGACGGTGTGATAAACTGGGTAACACTGTGAAGAATGGGAATTTCAGAATGCTTGATTGTACTCGTTACAGAACCTTACATAGACCAAGAGGCAGCTGTTCATCCAGAACAAGGGCATGCTGCCTGGTTTAAAGTGAGCAAAGGTGTGTGTCGGGGTTTTATTCTTTCAGCACACTTACTCAATCCATATACTGAGCAAACCATCCAAGAAAATGACTATATAAAGGAGAACACAGCATCAAGATTGGATGACAGATGACATACACAGATGACATAACCCTGAAAGTGAAGAGGCCTTGAAGTAGTTACTGATGAAGGTCAAAGAGAACAGCCTTCAGCACGGATTACACCTCAGAGTCAAAGGACGCACCTCGCCGCTGGACCAGTGAGCCACGCTGCGGTGCACAGAGAAAAGACTGAAGTCGTCAGCTTCTTTTTCTGTCTTTTTGCAATCAGTACCCATGGACGCAGCAGTCACGATATCAACTAATTACTCTGTGGAGCAGATATGCACAGAAGATGGCTTTAAAGTGTTAACAAGCAAAAATGTCGCTTTGAAGAAAAGGTCTTCCTGACCCGCAGTGTGGTATTCTCGGTCACTTCCTGTGCTATGAGAGCCGGACGGCGTATGAGAAAGAGGAATGATGCCGTTGAAGAAAGTGGTGAAGAATATCAATTGCGCCACGCACTGCCAGAATGAACGGTTCTGTCTCGGAAGAGGTCCAGCGGAGTGCTCCTTAGCAGTGAAGGTGACCAGCTTTGGCTCGGTACTTCGGTATTTTGGGCATGTTACTAGGCGGCACCAGCGCCCAAACTGTAGGGCCTCCTCGTATCTGGCAGAGTCAGCGAAGAAGACACGGCGACTTCTCAAGGAGATGGATGGATGCCAGTGGCTGCAACAGTGGGGTCAAGTATAACAGTGATTGTGCGCGCGGTGCAGTTCTGGGCACGACCATCTGTTGTGCATACGGTTGCTGTGGGTGGAACCAACTTGACAGCATTGGATTCTTACTGAATTAAATGGAGGGGAGGCTGCTAAAATAGGATCTAGAAATCCAATCGAATGCATTTAAACCTAGCATAGCAGACATGGGGGTGGGGGACAAAAAAGCCCCCAAACACCCCAACACTGCCATCGAGCCTATTCTGACTCGTTTGCTGCTTTGTTAGCTGCCATCAGATTGCTCAGGTCAGGAGTCCTGGTCTCCTAGTAGGTTACAGGTTGGGCTGCTAACTAACTGTAAGGTGAGCAGTTTGCAGTCCGTGGGGAAAAGGAGGCTGTGTATTCCCATGAAGATCGACAGTCTTAGAAACCTACACAGGCGTTCTAGGTCTGTCCTCTGGAGTTGCCATGAGTTGGAATTGACTGGATGTGAGTGAATATTGGGACTCGTGTTCACACTCTGTAGGACGTCTGAGGCTCTGTAACGCTTGACCAGAGCAGGCAGCCTCTTCTTTCTCCCTCGGAGCAGCTTATGGGCTTCAGCTGCCAACCTTAGCAGCCCGATGCTTACTCACAGGTGCTGCCAGCACTCCAGAAAATGGAGAAGCCCTTGTGAATTCTTGGATAAGAAGATAATTTTAACACAGTCACTTAAGAAAGTTAATCTCGCAGCCTTGGACAGGCTTGGAGGAAAATGGCAATTTGATGTATGCAGAATAGTCTTCCGGGAAGCCCATCCTTGTTACCTGTGCGTCTGCCCGGTCAATAGCGGCTTAGAGGAGCATTGTTGAACAGCAGGGATGGAAACTATGGGCTGAAAAGCATTTTTTTTTATTTTTACTGCACGCTTTGGCTAATTCTTTGCATAGATGGCGCATCTCTGTGAGAAAGCCCTTCGGACGTGATTAGATTCTGATGGCACCTGCATTTTTCTTGGCTGTGTTTCTCTGGACAGAGTCTCTAACTTACTCTGACCTGTTTTTCTCATTCGTCTGTAAGTGCTGGCTTGGCAGAGAGCTGTGTATCTTGTCGATCCTTTCTTCAGGGCCTCAGCTCTCCCAACTTCACTCTCTCAACTGTTGACTTTGCTTCCTGTTTGACTCAGAAAAGGGGAAGCCATCAGAAAGGGGAAGCCATCAGAAGTGGTTTCTCACAGGCTACCACTCCTACACCTGCTAGCCTGTCCACGTCTGTACTTGCTTGCGCTGGATGAGGTGCCTGTGCCTTGGCGATGGACCGCTTCTCCCCTGATGCACTTGAATCTATCTGCTTATTCCCATGAGAGGACATAATTCTAGCAATTGCTTCCTCTTTTTTCCGGATCCTACTTTCTCCCGGCTCGTGAATCATTCCTTCCAGCACACAGCAGCAGACCAGCCTGGCCTCCTTATCTCTCCTAGTGACACCGACATTTTCTGGTTGCGTGGACACCAGAACTCCTTGAAACTGTTGGCTCGCTCTGTGCCCTCTCTTGAAAGAGCAGTTAGCAGGCTTCCAATCTCCCACTCCACTGGCCCAAAGTCATGCTAAGACAGCCTGGCCTTTCCCTCCCTCTGCTCCATGGCGTTTGCTGTAGCTGATCACTGCCT